CCATCCCTGGAGGTATTTGAAAGACGTGTAGATGTGGTGCTTAGGGACATGGTTTAGTGGTGGACTTGGCAGTGCTAGGTTAATGGTTGCACTTGATGATCTTAAAGGTCTTTTCCAACCTAAACAATTCTATTATTCTATATATTTCTCTTTGGCACAGTATACACTAGGATGCTTAAAAAGATCCAGCCCCTACTAATATATCTATACAGTTGCACCATGCCTGCCTTTTTGTTTTCCTTTTTTTCCCCCCTCTTATTTATTCCTAGCTGTTCAAACTCATTATCTTGTTGAAGTTTTTGTGATGATCTGTAAGACATATGTTAGTTTATAATACAGTTATAAATACTCTCTAATGCCTTTGAAAATGTTTTTTGCTGTCACTAGTTCCTTTAGTATGATTTTTTTTGGTTGTCCTCTTCACTGTGACTCACAATTTCTGATTTTTTTTTTCTTTGTAAGTTGGGTACCATTTCCTTAGAACAGAGAAATCTGTGTGCGACCCCCAGCCTCGTCAGGAAAACACGCTAATAATACTTAGTGTGGCTTTTATTCATCTTCTAAGTTTCTTGTGTTGCAAGCAATTGTTGTGTGTATTAGCAGTTAGCACAAGAGCAGTTGTACAGATTGGTACTGTTTGTATGCTTTGGTCTTGAGAGGTTAGTCAGTGGAGATGTGAGCAAATAAAACCGAGGAGCACAGCTTGAGGATTAGTTCATGTACAACAAGGTCAGCGTATCTGCAAAATGCAGCCCAGCAGCTGTGTTACACTTGTTCTGAGGTGCTTCGCTGCAGTAGGAATCAAAACATTTCAAGGATCTTCAGGATGTTTGCTGTCAGCTGGTCACTACCACCTAAACAAGATACAAAGCTGAACAGTTACCTGTTACCTACTCATAAATAGATAACAGAGAAGTTGGAGCTGTCGTTTAATCAATAAAGACCTGTCCTGATTTCATGTTGATTTTTCTAAGGTTTTTTTAGTAAGTCTGAAGTAATAGGTGTTTATATTGTGTGCCTTTAACAGTTATGTTGAATATCACCATTTACATTTAAAATAATGTACAGTAAAACAACTGTTTGCATCAGGTATGCAACGTATTGTGTTTCCAGTTCTTTTCAACCACGTAAAGGAATAGGTTATTGCATGTTTGTCTGCGTTATACTGTGGCTCATGGTCATTCAAAATTCAGTGAAAGAGAGCATGTTCTCAAAGTTCATACTGCATGACCTAGTTAATTCTGTCACATGCTGTTTAATATTTATAGTGGATATCAGCATATTAAGGGCTTTGACTGAGTGCACTGATGCATTAACATTTTCTTTAACTCTTGCTTTGGAGAGAAAAAGAAACTAACTACTAACAACCTATTTTCTCTTGAAACTTCTGAAGGATCTACCTAACTGTTCAAGTTACGCTAATCTTGAAACCTTTGTTATTTGCATGTTCCATAAATTAAACCCTTTTCCTTATTACATGGACTGGAAGGATGCCTCAGAAAGTGAAATATTAGTTAGTCTACAGAGTTTATGTAAACATTTTGCTGTTTGTAAATTAATCAGTATATTTTGATTTTGTAAATTGTTATACATACACTTGTACTATTACAACAACATAACATCCCAACAAAATAAGCAACACCAGTCTATAGCATAGTATATAATATTCTAAATTAAATGAGCTTTTTCAAGAAAAAAAAAATCATGTAAGACACCAGTTTTTATTCACAATTCAGGTCCTTTTTGTTAAATTTAATTATATAACATAATCTGCTGGCATGTACTGCAGGGATACAGAGAAATGAACAGAAGAGGCTGCACACATTTTCAATATATATTTCTAAATGAAAAAACATTACTCCAGTACTTGTACACAAATGCGTGTAGCTTAGTTGTAGCTAATTAATTTACCTTTACTCTCTCATTGCGTTCCAGGAAGGGGTCACTTTATGCCTTTAGAATTTTTATTGTAATTCATAGTCCTACATTTTTACTGAGAATGCATTTTTCGGTGCAAAGAGCTAGGAGAGATGGGCTTAACAAAATACCAGCCAGTAGTCGACAGAAAATGACTGTCATATGGTCTTTGAAAAGCTCTTCTAGTTTGGAATTACAACTTTCTATGCAAATGACAGGCTTTTAGATAGTCTAGCATTTGAGAATATTTGAAAACTTAATGGTACACGATGTAAAAGATTTATATTGGTCTAAATTCTGCATCTTTAGGCAGAATTTGTTTCAGCTGTAATGTTTCTGCAATAAGCAGCCATAAGAATAGTATACTTGGGAATTAGAAGACTGCTAGAAAAAGTAATTAAATGACACTTTCATTACTTTTTGGGGTATTTTTCCAGTCCCAAATACCATATATTTAATTTTATCACAAACTAAATATCCTATTTTTTTCCTGTTTTATTGAACGGGCAAACAGGGGTAGATGGTCCCCCTCCCTAGAGAGGAGACGACCTACTAGTCCCAGGATTCATATCCAGCATGCATCTCCGGAGGATGACAGGTACTAGTCAACTCCTCCCAGTTGAAAAGTGGCTTACTGCATCTTGCACTCTCAGAGGAGTATACTGAAATTTAAAAGTATGCATATATGTAGCAAGAGACTTACAACCTCCAGAAGCCCAAAATAAAACAGCAGCTTATATATCATCTCTGCATTTTGTTGAACTGTTATAAAGCACCTAGGAATTAATGTCTTTTCAAATTTTCTGTTTGCCTGAATGGTCACAAACCATGAAGTAAGATGTCTAATACAACAGAACATCATCTGTGTTCATGTTCTTTAGTCTGTTTTTACCTGCTTCTGTACATGTTGGTGGTGTTTTCACTGTGGTGCTTTATAATATGAGAAATATTTGTTGTAGAGCCTGTTCTTGTCTAGGTGTTTATTTTTATTTTTATTGGGTTTTTTTCCCTTTTTTAACAAACTGTTCCTAAGGGGAAAAAAACCCCCCACAAACTGGTATGTTGGAAGTCTTGGTAACACGTACTAGTTGATGTATGTAAAAATTGGCACTGTTCATAAATTCTGTCCTAAATCAGGATGGTCTCCATGGAGCAGGTTTTCCTAACAAGGTAGGTTTTGGTTAAAAACACCAGTGGTTTAAATAAATTTTTATGCTAAATACCACCTATGATTAATAGAAGCACCTTTGTTTTTTGAACTTTCTACTCAAATCAGTTTTGGTATTCCATTGCTTTGGCAGTAGTCATTTTTTTGGTATTTTTTTTCCAGATAGATCTGGGGTTTTTTTAAGCAGACATTATAATTTCTATTGAGATGCAAATTCAAAATTTTCCCTTCAAATTTTTTGTGTTACAGTAAATGACAGGATACAGATGGTTCATGTAAATAATCCATACATGTGTGAACTCTTATGAAGTTGCACTTAAAACTGGAAGACTGGTATCTGGATAAACCTCCGTTACTGTAGTGCTAATGCTTATCTTCTGCTGAAGTCTGTCCACAGCCCTTATATTTGTACTGTAATTTGTCATGTTTGCTTGATACTGGATGTATTCCACTAATACAAGGTGGGAAGAGTGTAATTCTGTTTGGATAGCATTTCTTTTTTTATTTGAGTAAATCAGCGTTATAAATTATAAAATTAAATTGTGAAACATTTATTTCAAAATTGTCCCTCCTTACAGATACTGCATTTCTAGAAATTTTGCCAACACATCCCTTTGATGGGACAGCTATTAATAGTTTACAAATGTACTTTGTATCTTTTAGGCATTTTTAACTAATTTTGCTTCCCATTTTTCAAGTCGATGGAAAGACTGTCTTTGACTTCAGTGGATCAGACTTGATAAAACCTTGTTGTCATTGAAGTGATTAGAATTAAATCATAATCATATCACATATCAGTGAAATGAGATTTTCATCTAAATACTGCCATCCTTAATGCAGAATTGTAAGCCTTTTGGTGTCAGCCAAAGTTTTGTGGAGAAAGACTGAAATCATCTAATACCTCTTAGCAAACATATTACAGCAACGCATGTGTAGGATATAGAATCTATTCTGGCAAAGATTTTGAGTTGGAGAAACAGCAGTCTAATTTTCTTAGTGAAATCAGTGCCTTCTTGTGCTTGGAAGTCTTGCAGGTAATCTGGTCACCAAATCCCAGTGATGCAGTCAGTTATGCATCAAGAAGGAGTTTAGGCTAACCCCAGTCCTGATGACTGCAGCCTCCCAGTTCCAGATTAAGAGAAGTTAGGAGAACACTGGGCTCTTTGCATTGCATGCCCAATACAAAATAATAGCCCACCTTGTGTGTAGAGAGAGTATCAGTGAGGGAATCACAGGTGCTTTACCTTTGTTTTCTACTCTTTAAGTTTGCATTCATTCTGATTATTTCCCATAGCTTTGGCAGTTGGCCAACACCACTCAGTTCTATAATTTATGGTTTTTTAAGATATGCTTGTATCAATTTGACAACTGATGAAGCGGTGTCAGGGAATGAGTGTCTGATGGATCAGCAGGGGTAATTAACTAACTGCTTATCACTGCTTTCAAATCATGTTTTCACAGATTAATTGACTTTGACCGATGTCATCTTACTCTTCATTTGAGTACATTCCAGATTTATCTCATTTTTTTGGTATTTTTTTTCCAGATAGATCTGGGGTTTTTTTAAGCAGACATTATAATTTCTATTGAGATGCAAATTCAAAATTTTCCCTTCAAATTTTTTGTGTTACAGTAAATGACAGGATACAGATGGTTCATGTAAATAATCCATACATGTGTGAACTCTTATGAAGTTGCACTTAAAACTGGAAGACTGGTATCTGGATAAACCTCCGTTACTGTAGTGCTAATGCTTATCTTCTGCTGAAGTCTGTCCACAGTACTTATATTTGTACTGTAATTTGTCATGTTTGCTTGATACTGGATGTATTCCACTAATACAAGGTGGGAAGAGTGTAATTCTGTTTGGATAGCATTTCTTTTTTTATTTGAGTAAATCAGCGTTATAAATTATAAAATTAAATTTGTGAAACATTATTTCAAAATTGTCCCTCCTTACAGATACTGCATTTCTAGAAATTTTGCCAACACATCCCTTTGATGGGACAGCTATTAATAGTTTACAAATGTACTTTGTATCTTTTAGGCATTTTTAACTAATTTTGCTTCCCATTTTTCAAGTCGATGGAAAGACTGTCTTTGACTTCAGTGGATCAGACTTGATAAAACCTTGTTGTCATTGAAGTGATTAGAATTAAATCATAATCATATCACATATCAGTGAAATGAGATTTTCATCTAAATACTGCCATCCTTAATGCAGAATTGTAAGCCTTTTGGTGTCAGCCAAAGTTTTGTGGAGAAAGACTGAAATCATCTAATACCTCTTAGCAAACATATTACAGCAACGCATGTGTAGGATATAGAATCTATTCTGGCAAAGATTTTGAGTTGGAGAAACAGCAGTCTAATTTTCTTAGTGAAATCAGTGCCTTCTTGTGCTTGGAAGTCTTGCAGGTAATCTGGTCACCAAATCCCAGTGATGCAGTCAGTTATGCATCAAGAAGGAGTTTAGGCTAACCCCAGTCCTGATGACTGCAGCCTCCCAGTTCCAGATTAAGAGAAGTTAGGAGAACACTGGGCTCTTTGCATTGCATGCCCAATACAAAATAATAGCCCACCTTGTGTGTAGAGAGAGTATCAGTGAGGGAATCACAGGTGCTTTACCTTTGTTTTCTACTCTTTAAGTTTGCATTCATTCTGATTATTTCCCATAGCTTTGGCAGTTGGCCAACACCACTCAGTTCTATAATTTATGGTTTTTTAAGATATGCTTGTATCAATTTGACAACTGATGAAGCGGTGTCAGGGAATGAGTGTCTGATGGATCAGCAGGGGTAATTAACTAACTGCTTATCACTGCTTTCAAATCATGTTTTCACAGATTAATTGACTTTGACCGATGTCATCTTACTCTTCATTTGAGTACATTCCAGATTTATCTTACAAATTGGCCCAATTTGCATATAAGGTGCAATCAAGAAGATCTATTTCTGAATACATTTCTTAAACATATGACTTATGCATTATTTCTAATTTTGATCATTTAAATTCCATTTTTGCAACATTGTGTTTATTGATAATGATTCATAACATAAATTTTAGTAAAGGTCTTGGCAAGATTGTTGTTATTCTGGAATTCGTTCACTTGCCATATCAGAAAAAGTGACTCCTTGATGTACCTAGACGAGATGAAGACATGGCTTTTTTGTTATTTCAGTGTTAAGAATTAACAAGTGTTTGGTTAGTATCATGTATTTCTTTAAGACATTTTAAAGAATAGCTTTTGGTTTGAATTTGATTGATAGCATCATTGCTGGGAGGTTTTGTGGTTTCTATATTAGAAATGAGTATTAGAAAGTCTGTCTAAAGTGAAAGACTTTCTGGTAACTGGAGAACTGTGAAACTGTGAAATTGTAAGCGATGATAAAAACAAGGAGAATGAAAGTTGAGCATTTAATGGTAGGTGGGAATTTTATTCAGACTGTTCTTTTTGAGAAGTCTGCATATAATTTCAGTGTATAACCAAGACTGGATAAAATAAGCCTTTTAAAAAATTAATTTTCATATACTTTCAGTTAAGAGAAGCAGTTTTTGGCAGTCATGCATGCATCTGTAAGAATGCTTGTCCAAGAGTCATCCTGAGGCCACCTGTGGAGCAAGTACGCTTCTGGTACTTTCACGAAGAGAACTTGAGGTGTGCCGTGCACTGTCAGTTGCAGGCTGGCCTGGGTGATCCTTTCCTGTCTTTCCAGCAACGCTATGTGACTTGATCAGGGAGGCAGTTTTGCAAGACGAATTGAAGTGCTAGGAATGAGTGTGAGGAGCTACCAAGCTTTCAGAGTAGCTGTGACCTCCCAGCTCACATACCATGTAGATCCAGCCTTTCAGAAATCTTCAGGAAAAATCAGGAAGTATTGAACGTGACGTTCTTGATGGCTTTAAGGCTATCTAAATGAACAGACTCACTGCAAACCACTGAGGTCTCTTGTACAAGCCAGTAATAAGTCATTTTAAATGTTAGACACTGAATTTTATAAAAATGTTATTTTGTCACCTTAGGAATAGTAATTTTTAATTTTGATAGGAATATTAGCATATTTCTGTGTGTAGATTTTGTTTACACTCAACAGTGCTAAATATTTTGAGGCACATGGGTCTTTGGAACATGAACTGTGAATAGCTTGTCTGTATATAAAATAATACATAGTGCTTGTCTATATACATAACAGGGCCTCATTGATCAGTGATTTGGTGTGACAGTTGGTAGATTTATGACCTTAAAGAGAAATTTTAGCATTTCCTCACCATAATGGAGGTATATATGCAAATTTATTACATACCCTAGACTATTATTGGACTGCAAATTGTGCTGAGTTTTCTCATTAAAAGCCAAATTTGATATTTGAAAAAAATCTTACATTGATACACCTTATCAAGAAAAAAAATGTTTTTACCATATATTCCATAAAAAACTAATAATAAACTGACAAGCTAATAATGTTTATGCCAAATTGAAAGCTGTGAACAAATTCTGAGGTTCTTAAACAGCTTCAGCAGAAATGAACATAATATAGAAATTAAGAAATATTCTGAATTTTATTTGAATTTAAAAAAAAACAGCTGAGTCAGTTATTCTACTTTGTTATTGAATTGTTGTTAATTATTACTGTAGCAGACAGGCTGGCAACAGAATATGAAGTTTTCATCAAAATACATGAAATTATGAAATTGACTTGCATTTTCAGGAGAATTTCACAGTATAAGGACAAAATACACATTTTTCAAATTCCTAAGGGAAGATGTTCTGTATAGGTTTATATATTAATCTAATGAACAATACTGTAGATTAATTCTCAAGAAGGATAATGGCAACTATTAAGCCACAGTACTGCCGTTCAGCATGTAGAGTATAAAGGTTTTTAAAAATATTGTTGTGGGTTTCATTCTTTATTGCATCTTAGAATGTTGATATTATGTCTAAAAATTTTAACATTTCCTTAAAGTGTATGGATTAAATCAACAGAAGGGGAAATGAGAAATATAGCCTTTCTCAGCAGATAGTGCCCTAATGCTTTTGGTTTATATATTTGACTGCATGTCTCCACCTTCACTGCATGTGACCATCTCTCTGTTTCTGCTCATTCTGTCCAAATTCACATCCATGTTTCCAAATTTTGTGAAGAACAAGGACGCTGGAGTCTTGCATTCCAAAACAGGACAGTGTAGACCACCTAAGTGCTAAACCTGGAGCAGCACAGAGGTATCCTTATTTACTCAAATCATAGTTCCAAGTAAATGAGGTATTGGTTATAGTATATTCTTCATATGCTCTGCATAATACTTTCACATATTTAGTTTTTTCTCTTTTTATGTGTAAGTACATATATGCATGTATTGTTCATAGATAATATTTAATCCCCTATAAAGTACATTTAAGAGGTAAATTTGAGTATGACATGAGTGTTCTTATCCCCAGTGCACTCTTCATACATTGTATATGGGCATGAAAGAACGCCTACATGTAAATATGTACCTGCCAATGCCCACAGTGTGCTGAAGCCGAGCCAGGACTGAGAGCACTGTAGTAGGCAGTTGAGCTATATGGAACTGTATACAGCATCATCTTAGCAAGAGGAAGGAAACAGAAAGGAAATTATGATTTTAAACGTATTTCTAATGTGTGCTGCTTGCAAGGACAGCACAGAGAGCAGAGAAGTAAGTGTATTCAGCTCACTAGTGCTATATATTACTTTGCCACTTTTCACAGGAAAGCATGTCCTACTCTCAGCTTTTCCATCCTACAAAGAGTAGTCACTATGTGCTCTTTTTCTCCATTGCATGTAATGTCACAGTCTAAGCAAGTGATATAAGGAGTAAGAGGAAAATAAGCCCCATAACCAACGAAACAGAAAATGAAGAGGGTGACATCATTTGAATGATAATGCTGCTGCATTCAGTGGATCTAACCATAACTTTAAATACTTTGCTAACCTTAGGTTTTAAGTAAAGCTGCAGCATTTAATATGTGTTTCTCTGTGTATCCACCTTGTATTTGTCCTGGTAAAGAAAAAAATGTAAAAGTAATGAGAATAAACAAAAAATAAATCTGGAGAAAATAGTTTGAGGACAAAGGGGATTTTAATTTTTAATCTGAGATATTATTTTTTGGTAAGAAGATACATTCTTTTAAAACCCAGAAAGCATCAGGTAATGAGCTCTGCTCACGCAGAAAAACATTTTGTATTTTGCTGCAGTATTTTCTTTGTCACAATATAATGCTCATCAAATATTGCAGTAGGTACAATTCATGAAAATCCACTGTGATTATATTATTTGGGTATAATTTGGTGTTACAGCTGTTTAGGTGTCTTCCAGTTCAGACACTGGATTACTCTTTATAACCACAAAGGTTTAAAAGGAAAATATATCTTTTTAAATATTATTTTTATCTATTTGTAATTCTTTTATAGCTTAATATATGACATTGATTATATTGTTGCAAGTTCTTATACATGTTTCTTGCACTGCTGTAAGATGCAAGTTAGGGTTTGTCAACATTTCTGGTCTATCAATGAATAATCATCACTCCCTGTTTTTGACCACTCCTGAAAAACACTATGTACTTTTTTTTCTAAAAAGCTAATATATATTGATGATTATCAGAGATTTAAAATTATAAATCCTAATTTGTAAATGCTGACATTACTGTGGATAGTAATGGAAATTTTGGAACACACAAGACTTGCAGAGATTTTCATAGTATATTTATAGTCCTGGGTCATAACGGTGAAACATGCTTTACCTTCGTTCTTACATTTATTGACTCATATTACTGTTCATTGTTCTTATTTACTATCAGAGTAAATGCTTAGATTGTCAGAGGTATCTAGTGCCTCACTATCCAAATTGCCTCACTATCCAAATGTCAGATGAATTCTATGAAAGATTTATGTGGGAAAGGAGCAAAGGAATGAAATAAACTTCTAACTTATTTATACTGACTAGAAAAAAATAGAATTGTTTTAAACTGTTTCTCAAAAACTTTAACAAGTTCTAATACAATAGGATTTTTGAGAAACCAAGTTTTTAGTAATACAGTGACAGCATTATTTAAATTGATATGATGCAGTATTTGTTTTGCTTTTGAAATTTAGTTTTAAAAGCAATTTTTAAAGTTTACATTTGAATAGTATTTTCTGGTCCTTTCTGCAACATTTGTTTCCTGCTGTCTACTCTGCATTTGTTTTTCATGCTGTCAAGAGAGGACTGAGAGGCCTCTGAGGAGGCATTGTTTCTAATCACATACAGACTGTGAAGTGGGAACTAGCTGCACTGTTCAGTCAGGTTTAATGTTATCATCTCCCCTGTTTTGGTACCTCATAACTTTCACACCATCAGCCTTAATCAAACCTAACCAGGGCCATGTGTCTTAAACCTCGAGCCTGTTCATTAAGACAGTTGTCACTTTTTCACGTCAACTTTTTCTGTCAACCATTTTTGTTACTAGCTTTACAATACATTACTAAATATATAATCTTCATATTTTTGTATTCTTTTTCTTCTTTGTTTATTTCTTTTCTGACATGTCATTTCACAGGCAGTCCAGAAAAGTGGAAAGATATAGCAGCCAAAAACAAACTAGGAAAGGCTCCGCAACTGAAACAGAAAGGTAGGATTGCTGATCAATGAGTAAACACATCTTATAATCAATCTGATTCCAGTGTTTGGAATATACCTCTAATACAGCTTTTAAAATAGAAAATCTGTGACAGTACCAAAAGCTATGTTGTTGTAATTTACAGTATTATTTACTTTGTATCCATATTATTAGCACTGCTTGCTGTGTTGCATACATATGGAATTTTTCTGGCATTCTCCATCATTGCAGATAAACTCAATGGTCAAGACATACATTTTATGAGCTGAAATCTGAGACCCGTTGCCACTATATTGATCTCTGTAAGGGGAAATTTGGAAATGGCTAGCATATTTCATTAGTATGGGACTAAACTTTTTCTGTGCTTTACCACTGATCTTTTTCAAAAAATCTCTTCTATTTTACAGTAAGTTTGAGGATGAGAAAAATATATTAACAGATTAATAATTCAAGATGTCTCTCATCAAATTAATTTCACTTTATAATGTAAAAATGTTAAGTTACACATTTAAATATGTATAGAAAATTTTATAATCTATCATTACATAAAGTTAATATAAACACTGGGACTTTAACCTTTGTATTCGTTGAATTTTTTGTACTTGTATTATCATTGTAACTTTTAGCTTTGATGCTACAGTAGTACAGAGTTATGTATTCAAATTCTTAAGAAAAAGTGGGAAATAAAAAGATATATACTAAATCATAAGTGCATCTAATTGAGTTTTAAACCCTGTGTATTAGCTGAAATAAGAGCAGGGAGGAGAGGAAATATCCTGCCGTGTCAGAAACAGATTTATGTTATCTTGATTAGCAGAGGAGCAATGTACATCTGTTTACATTGTGAGGGTTGAAACACTTCCATGAACAACACAGACACATTTTTATTTTAATGAAAATGCACATTATGTAGCAAAACTTTTATTTTATTTTACTGCTTCAAGTCCCAGATTATCGTTCCTGATCCAAAAGCAATGGTTACATTTTTCTTGGTTTTGACGATTCTGTTGTCACAACAGCCCAGTTGCTTTTTCAGTTTAGACCAAAGAAATTACCTAAACGGTGGCTGAAATCCTTGCTGTGTTTAAACCAGGGACAGTTTTGCCATTGAGATCACTAAAGCCATTTTTTCCCTGTTTTTTTCTAACTTCTGAAGAGTAAGAGGAGCCACTGGGACTGAGGTCCAAGGGGCTCACAGTTCTTGATAACCGTTCAGACTATATGGTTAGAAAGCTTGGCATGAAACTGGGAAGGAAGATAAGGTGGGAAAGACATATGAAGTAAATGGGAGGGGAAAAAATAGAAACATAAGTAGAAAGTATGGTAACAGAAAGGATAAGGAAGGGAAAGAAAATATAAGAGATTCTGATGGCAAAAGGGCAGAGCAAAGAAAGTGAGAGACACTGGCAGAGTACAAAAGGAAATCCCACAACACTTGCAATTGGACAAATCAGAGTATCTGTATATGTGTTTACATTTCAAACCTGATATTTCAGTGTGTGAACTGGGGGCATCTTTCTTCTACAGATGTTAAGATCACTGCACAGGTCAAAAGCATATACCTCAATAAATCCTGTTTACACTAATTAGTGTTTTACACTAATCTCAATATATGGAAGGTGTAAATCATAATCTTGAAATACTTAGAATTTCAGATATTGTAGGTGATAACAGGAACTGATTTGCAGGGACTGTGATTATGAGGTGTTATGCTGAATACATCAGTAGCACATGGGCTCCATCTCTAAGGATAAGCATGTAGTTATACCTATGAAGAAGAGGCCTTTTTAAGGCTTGGGCAATGTGTTTCTCTGCTTGAAATGACCTGCCCAGGTCTGAAATTTTAAGATTTTTTTTTTCTGGATAATTCAAAGCTTCTTTTTTTTTGGAACATATGATTGAGGATTTATGCATGTATATGAGAAAGTGTGAGTCTGGAGGTCACTGTGAAATATTGCTAGTGTCTATATACAGAATTTATATGGGATTTAATGGATTGGAAGTTGATACTTCAGTCATTGCTGTGCTGAGATAAATTTGGCATTGGTATGGTAATGATTGTAGTCACTACCTAGTGCTAGTGGTTGGGGGGGTGTTAGTTTGATTTTTTTTTTTCTTTTTTTTTTTGAAGAAATGTGGAAAAAAAAAATCTGGTTGTTTTTTTTCCCCTGAAGTTAAGTAAAGTTACCAAAAGTATGAGTCCACATAGCAACATTTTCTTTCCAGAAGGGAAAAGCCAGCTCTGATTTCTAATGATCTTAAGAGTGATGAACCCAGTGCAACAAGAGCATAGGGAAACATGATTTGTGCTGCTTCTTTTTACGTCTCCATGGCACATGGTGTAGGTTTCTGTTTCCATAAAATGATTCACTGCTATTAGATGTGAGACACAAATGTCTACGTAAGTCTGAGTGCTGTACTTTAGTATTTCATCATAGATATAATGTTGCACTAGTGCCAGAAAGTTTTGATAATAGGACAGGCGATTAACTTTCTTGTCAAATGGCAAATATAACTCAAGACTATTTCTTGCTCAAATATCCATTTCTGTCTTAGATTCGGTCTTTATTTTGCAATTTGCAGATCTTGTCTACTATTAGCTAAGCAGATTACTGGAATAAGATATCAGCATGCTATTAGCTTCGCTATAAAGCCTTTCAACATGCTATATAAGATTAAATTCTCTATGTGATAGCTTAGGAAATGTACATAAAAGGGAAAAAGCAAACCTTTTCAGGATAGTTTACAGAACCTAACAGTTCTCTTAATAATTTGATGAGATAGATAAGCCTTTAAGATGGGATTCGGTAAACTCTTCTGAAGGACTAAAACTGATTACATGAAAATCAAACATTTTCTGTGCTTGTATGAATGAGCAAAACTGTGGTAAAAATTGGTTCATCCCAACCCTAAAATGCTTTCTTTCAGCCCTAACTGCTCACCCCAGAAATGCCTGATTTGATGTTACCTGTCATATATGTTACAATACATACAGTCTTTAACTGTACCTGCTACATTTTACATAGGACCCTGTGCCAGAGGTGCGCTGGATTGGTGATGCTCTCTTATTCTTAGTTTCTCTTTATAGTTCCATGTTTTATTTAGTATTTGCCACTGAGGCATCAGTCTGAAGAGAAAGGAATTTGAGTTTTCTTGTGTGCAGGCAGAGCTAGAACCTGCAGGATTCCCCTGTAAACCATCGCCAGTTGAATTAATAGGTTTGCTACCTATAATTACTACCTAATAGTGTTACCTTCCTCTGTGAGGAACCAGGAGATGAGATACACACGTATGTGTTTGTGGCAGTCTCATTGCTTACCAGGTATCATTTCTCTCCCAAATTCCTCTCTTCTCCATACTTATCTCACTTCTGTCTCATTTCCTCAGTCATACACTAGCTTTCGTCTCCCATGCTCGTTCCTTTTTGTCTCATTCTCCTGATCAGCCATTTGCAGACTACTTCCTTTCAGCAACTGATCTTTCTTCTAGGCCAGCAAGTCCTTAACTCCATTCTAGTTTTTCTGCAGTTCCCTCTTAGCTCTATTCTTAATTTGCACTCCCAAGTAGCATATTCGTCTCAATGTAATACCCCGTCTAATGCAAATCTTAAGCCTAATTTGTCTTCATTTTAGTTAGGCAGATCCTCTATCTTTCTCTAGTGGAAGGGGACAGGTGTGTAAAAAGGGTATTACTGAAAGAGCAGGAGGTAAGTTTCTGAGTTTCAGGTAAAGTGTCTGTTCTGTAATGGCAGGACAGGCTCTCCTAGTGCTTCACTGGGCTCTCAGATAAATTCCAGGATATTTAGCCTCTAAAATGAGAAAAATCAGCACTGAGAACACGATGGCTTTGTTAGATTGCAGCATTCATTCATAGTAAAAGCAAGCAAGCACTTTCTGGCACAGAGTGGGATCCATATTTACCTTATGGATGTTATGATGTTTAAACATCTGATAAACCAGATACTTAAAAGCTGATTGCATGCAATAGTTGGCATGGATTACTTTTACAGTCAGCATGGAGAAACAGGCATTTTCAGAACTCAGCTCATCTTCATTATCGTAAGCATCTCTTAGAATTGGGGGAATCAGTCTCTGAAAGAATGTTACAGTTATCACCAGGGCAAGGCCGGAGTTAAGCTAAAGAAGCGTTAGTGTTTAAGAGGGAAAGTATAGCAAGGGCAACAGAATCTTGGTTTTATTGCATTGTGGCTGGACTTCCACATAAACTGTTACTGATGAAATGGCTTTGAAACGAAACCTGATTGTTATCCTTGGTAGGCATCTGCATGTTACCTCATATATACTTTTTTTTTAAGATGACTTTTCAGTGTATGATAGTCATATGAACTAGACAGTCCCTTGGTTACTTCGGCTGTATCTTGTGGGAGAGTTGTGCTGGGTGTGTGAAGGGAGACTTCATAAGTCTGCAGAAATTTAAAAAAACCCAAACAAACCAAAAACCCCACAATGAAATGATGTCACAGGAAATTGAAATTTCTGAACAGCCGATACAGTAGTATCATTTACAAAATGCTGCACTGTTGGGAAACCAAGGAAGAGTAAAAAGGCACAGTTAGAATACTTTGTCACTCTCCAAAATGGAAATGTTTCAGGTTATCTTATACTTGCAGTGTATACAATTATTAAACTACTAATAACTATGCTTTATTATACTAACACGATTAATCATTTTACTGCATATTTTAATTATATTTTCATTTGAGTTCCTTCAGAACTGTATTTCTGTTTTAGGGCTTACAGCAGAAAGATACTTAAATAAAAGTCCTTATTTGAAACTCCTAAGGAAACCAAGAGAATTACATATACGTGCTTACATATTGTCCTTTTTTAGGACACTAATTGAAATCCAGTTAATATTGTTAATAAAGATAAAAGGTATGTTTTAGAAACAGAAATGCTTTGTGGTAAAACTAGGTATGCATAGCCTACTCTGTGCTAGTACCTATGTCATACGTGTTGTTAGCTTGTGTTTGCTGTGTTTAAGATGCAGCTAGCGTTTTGGCCAACTGTCCGCTATAAGCAGTGCAGTTCAACAGTTCCACAATTAGGGTCATGTGTATCTGCAGTGGCGAGTGTTCTGCAGTTCATCATTTTGAAAATGGATTTGCATTCAGAATTAATAACTTTGATCTGAAACGTCAACCCTGGTCCTGCAGCCAGGATTTGCAATGTTCTTTGGTGGAGGGGGGCATGGGAAGGTGTGCCTGGAGCTAACAACTGAACAGTTTCTTTTTGGCCCTGATGTTTTAGGGGTCTGCTACCATGTCTTTCTAGAAGGGGACTTCCAACCCCACGAACGACTGAACAGCCAGTCATTAGGGGAAAACATCACACTCGCTCAAGGTCGAGTGAGCACTCTAGTATCAGACCCTTATGCTCTGTACATCACCTAGCGCCCGGAGGGTCGGCGCCACCTTCTCCACTTCTGACAAGGTTGCTATTATGTGTACAGCACAGCTTTCATGTTCTGCCTCCCAGGTGTCAGTGTGGTGTTGTACTTTCCTGAGCATACATGGCGCGTTCACTCATTCTGGCACTGTAGATTATCCTCTCTTCATGGTATTTACACTTCTCCCATATCCTTTATGCCACCTATCTTCACCATCCAGATGGAACTTCTTGCTGTTGAACTTAAATAGTTATGCAATGTAAGAGTGAAAAATCGGCTGTGTTTTGTCCTTCCATTGTTGTGTTTTGTTCTGTATCCATATGAAAATTATCAAAGTATTTTTCTTAAACACTGTGCAGGAAACCACGTGCTGTTCACGCAACTAACTGATCTTATAGGCTAACAGAAAGTCAGTTGATCTATGTAGTGTGGAAACCAACAGTATTTTGAACTTGCTTAGATGTGTAACTTAAAATTGCAAATTATCTACGTGCAACCTTAGTGTAGTTGATAAACAGTGCTTATCCACTATAGTGAGTGTGATGTTACTGTAACTGGTAAGGGCATTTAATAGTAAGCTCTCCCTCTCAGTGGTCTGCTTCTTCTCATCTTTGTTTTACTTTCTTAAATTTTTTCCCTAGTTATTAGAGGTGGCCCTATTTATTTTAAATGCAAACTTACCAGCGTTCCAAAGGTGTTTGATGTGTTACACTCAGATGCTGTATCTATGTATAAGAAATCAAGTAGCCAAGGTGCTCTGAAATAGTGCTAGCTAGAATTCCGCCAAAGGGGTTTAGGATATTTACTTAGGTAAGAATATTAAAAATCTTGTACATTCTTTGCGCGTGCACACACACGCACCCCCTCAATAACAAGGTTAAAGGTCTTTTTCCTTCTTTGAGTTCAGGGAAAAACAACACGTTATCCCACGGGAATAGATACTTGCTGTCCAGTTCTCTGTGGCCTTCTGCAATTACTGCATCAGCACAAAGGGAATACAAAAGTTAATAAAATACAGAGGTGGCATTTTCTATTGCCCTTATACCAGTGCAGGAGAACATACATAAATTGTGAGTCATAATCATAAATAGTTCTTAGAAAACTGCTTTTTGTTCAGTGGTTTTTGAGTAGTACTTTATTAAAAAAAACCAAAACAACAAAACAAAGGAAAACATTTCTCCTTAGTTGAAGGTAGTTAGAGAAATTAAACATAAGGCCTTGTAAATTTACTAGGTATCCAGACCTGAGTATGTGCATATGGCACACACCAAATGCAAACTTCTTCAAACCCATCTTCAGTATATGCAACTTAATATGTGTTTAAAGTTCAGAATATAAAAATTCTCTTCATTTGGGTTATTTGACTTTTATCTTCATTTCATTTGCAGAATACATCAACAAGGAAGTCCCACACAGTCTCCTCCTGCAGACACATCCTTCAGCAGTCGCAGGGGAAGACAGCTACCGCAAGTTCCAGTAAGAAGTGGCAGTATAGAGCAAGGTATCAAATAATGAGCTTATGATAGCTCAAACTCTTTGATTTCTTACCTTTTTTTACTTAAAGTCTACTTTCATACCTACGTGTTCAATGCTACAATTGTACCAATAAAGCAATAGAAGAGAATGAAAGCATATTTGTAGTCTCAGAAATCCAGTAGAGTTTGACCGGTGGATTATTACACATGGTTTAATTGCCTTAATTTTCTAGTACCCTTTTATGTTTGTCTGCTTTAAAATTTCTATTAGAGTCGTGGTAGTTTTCAACAAATATCTACTTTGTATTCAGCTAAAGAAATCAGGGGCAAAGATTTTGACAACATTCTGACAGTCTTTTTCATTTTATGGTTTATATTAATTGTTGTGCATTGTTAAAATAGATTAATAATAAATATCACAAATCTGGTTTTCTTCTGGAGTTCATAGTTTAGTGATTAAAGAATGAAAATAGTCACCATGAGAAATGTAAAAGCACAGGTCATCAGCTCTTTCTTAAGAATAAACTGATCAGGCAAAGAGTGCTGCTCTTTTCTGAAAAAGACAATGTAGACCTAGTGGTTGTGGAAAATGTTTTTTACATACTAATATCAAATAAGTATGAATATTGCTGTTTCCTTTTCTAGCAACATACTGCACACAAAGTATGAGCTATTATGGTAAAATGAAATGGCACAATGGATATTTGCACATTCAGGTTTTCTTCTGCATTTAAAAAGCCTGTTTTCTCATTGACTACAAGCAACAACTGAGATTGCCATGTACCACAAGGTTTTCTTCTACGTGGAAATTAAAGAAATGCTTCTAATGATGAAATATTGTAGTGCTTTACAGAACTGTTGGCAGACTGCTTTCTTTAGTAGGTAATGTTGCTGACCATGACCTTATCATGATAGATTACCATAGGGTTTTTTTGTATGATGGCTTATATTAGCATGCAATCAGCTTACATTAATTTAATGGCTTTAGCTGTGATGGCATACTACACCTTCAATTAACACATATGAAAATGTATTCTTGTTTTATACATGTGTTTATTTTGAATGATTAATATACTAATACAAGTGAGTTTTATTCATTTTGAACTTTACAGTCGAGTCCTCTCATTTTGCTTTGTAGTGAATCTAGGACTGTCCGGATTATAAACTAGTTACAAACTACATTTACAGCTTCTATTTCTGCATATTAGTAAGTTGGGAGCTTTTTAGGGAAATGTAATAAGTAATGAATTTCAAATTTCTTTCATGTTTCTTCTGCAATTTCAGAACTTGGTGCAATATATAACGATGAATCAGCTTTTAATTTATTTTAAGTTGGCTTCCCTTTGGATATTCATCTATCATCTTTCTGCTGTTCTTGATAACTGGTGTGTTGAGAATAAAATACTAGTTTATGTTTTGTTAAAGACATTGGAAATGAATGTAGAACTTAACATGAAAATGAGTAGAAATGGGATGTATACAGAAGAGGAAAGAAAAAATGAAAGTTGAGCAGAAGGCTAAAGCTACTCTAGGTTTAGAAAGTTGTTGATACCGTGAACATCTGTAAAGTAAAGCTGTTTCACTGAGCTCTCATTTACACTTGTGGTTGATATGCTTGCGTCTTATGTATAAAATGTACAAGTAGGATGCGACATGTCATTTACTTTGTTGTTATATATCATACTGCCTATGTCAATATGGCTGTATTACAGTACATGGAAACAAAGGCTAAAGAGATTTCCTTCTCTACATAGTACTTTGGTTTTGTCTAAGTGACTGGCTTGTCCTTTTGGAGGGGAGGTTTTCTGATTTTACCCATGTTTAACACTTTGTTCAAGCTGAGAATATATTTGCAGAGAAGTACTAAAATGAATAGATTTTATAAAATATTTTTAAATGGTTTTGTCAGTATCTTCTGAAATAAATATGATAGTACGTATAAACTTTATACTACTGTAAGAAATTAAATTCAGTGAGGCTATAAGACCATAGCATTTGCTCTGATTTACAGTATCAAATTTTAATATCAGTTTCACCTCTTTAATCCTTTTCAAATGCGTATCAGGGTCAAATGGAGTGACTAGAAGTGATCTGACCCTAATGTAAGATTGAATCCAAAGCATACTGAGGTCTGTAAAAGATTTCCATTAACTGTACTTGGAACTGAATTGTGTCCTTAATGATTTAAATTCACAGTCAGCATGGATATAGAAGATGTCAAAGTCTAGTGCAATATATAAATGTTATAGGGAGCATTTCAAAAGTCTTTGCATTTTCTTCATTTATAAATAAAGCTACTTCTTGGTGGTCAGTATTGACATCCTGTGTTTCAGGGAAACTCTGTATGATATACCATAAGGTATCATTTTTATAGTAAAGTACTTCTTTACACTCTATACAAATTCTGTTGTGTCAGGAGGGTTGAATACACACCTAAATACATACATCTATGAATCTATGTCTGTTTTACAAATCACAGTAATTGCTGTAAAAAGATTGAATGTCTGTATTCCTCAAGAGTGGATTTTTTATTTGCTGTTTGCATATTCAGGAGGCATAGAAGAATCCAATAAAGTAATTTTATTACTCTTCAAGGCTCTCATTATGGAACACATGAGAGTTAATGAAGGAGCAAGAGACTGGTAGTGGTTTTCATCTCGAGAAACAGAGTGATATTTTAACACTTAATCTTAGATGAGGTTTTTACTCTCAGTCTTTAACCTTTAGCTCTCAATTGTAAATTATCATATCCATGCTAATAAGGCTTCTTCTAGGACTGACATTGCATCTCAAGCATTCCATTTTGTCATTGTCAAGTTCAGAACTAAAAAAATGGTCGTTTCCTTGTCTCTACTAGATGATGTTGTCTTAGTTACTGCTCTGGTCGGCAGTTTGAGAATCATAAAAAGTCAACTTGTGAGAAAATAAGGCAGTTTTAAAAGGTCCTTATTAGTAGACACACTTTATTAATTAAAAAAAAAAATCTCATAGAAGTAATTCTTATAGAGAAGACCAAAAGAGTGGTCCCTATTCCATTACAGAAATGGGGTTGGTACTACTGATCAGGAACAGAGAAAAAAATCTTAAATGTAGAGGAAAAAGTCCAATTTAAGGACTAAAACCTCAAAACAGCATAATTATGCATGCTAGCAAAAAAAAAAAAAGTCTTCTTGGTGATTATGTTCTAAAGGGGATAGCAGCTTTGCCTAGTTTTGGAGTGGGGAGGGAGGTAGTTATTTTCACTTGGAACAGTTCTAACTAAATAATATTTTTAGCAACTCCAGTACATGCAGACTTTTTAAAGTGGTTACATTTAAGTTTGTAGGCTTCTGTAATTTTTAGGCAATGTGATTTTTATTTTAATCCCAGTGATATTGAAGGAAGACATGGCTGTATTTCTTTCCTTTGCGACCCTGTCAGCAGTATTTCCTAGAGTGCAAGACACACTGGGATGTTATTGCAACTAAAGGTCTTGAGATGCTTGAGTATTGAAAGTTAGTCTGGTATAGGTGTGTCCATGCGTGTTTTCAAAAAGTCACAAATTAGTAGTCATTACCCTAACTTATGCTACTTAAGAAGCATTTTTTATTTCTTTGTTTTAACTGATAATTTTATAAAAGGACCTAATAATGTGAAGATGTTTTGGCTCAGTGACTAAAGCAGTGAAATTCTAAGCCATGGTAAGGACAATGCTGTGTTCTCAATATGTCATCCTGTGCCGAGCTGTAAGAGATTTGCATCAGTGGTTTTTTTATTTGCATCATGTTTGAGTGGAACTGTGCATATCATTAAGAGGGGTGGGGATTCTGCTTTGACTTTGTTTTTCAACTGTTTCTATAACAACTTTGTTATGTAGTTGTATGGTTTTTAAATTATACTTTCGTATAAAGCATGTTTCTGCGATCTTTACTCAGTCCGTCCTCTGTCATTGCAACTATCAAACATCACAGGAATTCTTGCTTGAATAGGATTTGAGGGTGGGTCTCTACACTTTCATATAATGGTTAATCATTGTATCGATCAAGGAAATGAATACAATCTGAAGATCTGTAGCATTTTTCTACACTCCTTTTTAGCTGCAGTAGATAATATTAGGGATAATATTAGGAAATCTAGCAAGTGAATAAGAGAAAACGTATTATGTACTATTGAAATTTATGAACCAGCAAGATGAATGTGCAATGATTGTAGTATAGAAACGATCTTTAAGAGCTAATTCATGCAAAACAGGTCTTTCTCCCTGTATCTGCTTCCATTTGGCTCTTCACAGCATGGTTTCATGTTTCACAAGTCCTGTAATGAGAGTAAGGTTTGTGATTATCAGCAGCCTGTTTACATGTAAAGAGCATCTGTAAACATAACTGAACTAGTGTGGTTGTATGTGTTTCCAGTGGCATCTGTCTACGGCAATAGGCCTTATGCAGTGACCTTTAGAACAGCAAAACTGCGACCAGCATTGAGTATTCCTGTATCTTAGCTCATGTTAGAAAAAGCTGCATAAGCTTTGTACATAGCTTGTATGCAGGGTGAGGTGCATGCGTGCGTGTGTGCTGCTGTTTCATGAGGGAAAACTACGCTGAAGACTACTGGTACTGAATGGGGATTACTTGTATAAAATTCATGTGTATAATATCTGTACAAGTCTTTAATGGTAGTCACATCATAGAGCAATGAAGTTTTGTGATGTCCAATGTTTCCTTTTAACAAATAAGAATCAGAATTTCGTACAGAAAATCAGTATGTTGTCAAATAATACATTTGAGTCGCAAATATCTTTTTATATTTAACCAACTTAAGATCCTAAAAAAAAATGAATAGCTAATTAAAACTGTTCTGTGTATATGTACTTGATCATTGAAATGTCATTGCAGTGAGAGTATGGCTTGAGTAATGGTAAAAGATCAAACCCTTTCAGTTAAAACCTTTTTTCAGATCCATCAGTATAAAACTTGAGTGGCAAAAGAAAACAAATAAGTAGTTTCAAGTTTAGATTTTTGTCTTTTAGCGTTGTTTGTTTTGTCTTCAT